TGGGCCAAATCCCCAATGGGGGGCATGCAGGAGGCGGCCAATTGATGTTCTCTCTCAAATTGATGTTTTTCTCTCTCTCTCCCTCTCCCTTCCACTCTCTAAAATCAATAAAGAAAAAAAAATTTTAAACAAAAGATTGAAATAATTATGACAGACAGCAAATTACTGAGGAAATCTTTGAGAAGTCTAGATTATCTCATTTCCCTCAGAATTCCTCAGTTCAGTAGAAAGTATTACCATCCTCATTTGATATTTGATGTTCTGAAAGATTATAGAGCCTACCCATAGTTGCATAATCAATGGAAGAATGCTTAACTCTGAAAACAAGATGCAAGGCCACAGTTCACCTTACTAACCTGCTTTTGACACTACTTAAGTAGGTGTTCAGAAAGGAAACCTTTAAGATTTGGCTATCAAATGCCAAAAAACTACATTTAATCTTATAAAATTATTTTAGAATATTTTAACACATTTAAGTATCTGCAATGACCATAACAGATAAATACATTAAAAATCTATAGGGAAATACAAATTAAAACAATGAGATACCACTACAGACCTATTAAAATAGCTAAAATCTAAAACACTGACAATATCAAATGTGATGAGGATGTGGAGCAAAAACAACTCTTTCTTTGCTGGTGGGAATGCAAAATGATACAGCCATGTTGGAAGAAAGCTTGGGAATTTCTTACAAAGCTAAACATGGTCTAACTATACGATTCAGCAAGCTTATTCCTCAGTATTTACCCAAGTGTGTTGAAAATATATTTCCACATAAAAACCTGTATATGAATGTTTATAGAAGTTTTATTCATAATTGCCAAGAAATAGAAGCTACAAGAAGTCCTTCAATAAGTGAATGGATAAACAAACAAGGTACATGCATACAATAAAATATTATTCAGTAATAAAAAGAACTGAGCGATCAAGCCACAAAAACACATGAAGGAGCTTTAAGTGCATATCACTAAGTGAAAAAAAAACAGTCTAAAAAAGCTACCTACTGTATGGTTACAATTATGAGATATTGTAAAAAAAGGCAAAACTATAAAGACAATAAAAAGATCAGTGGTTATCAGGGGTTAAGGAGAGAAGTGGGAGAAGAGTGACTAGGTACAGCAGAGGAAATTTCTAGGGAAGTGAAACTACTGAACCTATTTGCTATGATACCAAATGTTGGATACATGACACCATATATTTACATAATGCACCATGCATCTGGCATTAGTGTAGTACATTTGTTACAACTGATGAGCCATTATTAATATATTATTATTAACTAAAGTTCACAGTTTACATTAGGGTCAGCTCATTGCATTTTATAGTTCTGTGGGTTTTGCATAATGCTTAATGGATGTTACAATAATATAAGTAATAGATGTACTTTCTGCTCAATTTTTATAAACCTAAAGCTGCCATAAAGACAATTACTTTAAAAAAAATCCACAGGGCCCTGGCCAGTTTGGCTTAGCAGTTAGAGCGTCAGCCTGCGGACCAGAGAGTCTCAGGTTTGGTTTCTGCTAAGGGCACATACCTCGGTTGCAGTTTGTTCCCAGCCCCGGTTAGGGTTGTTTGGGTGGCAACCACTCAGTATGTCTCCCTCAAATTGATGTTTCTCTCTCTCTCTTTCTCCCTTTATCCCTCCCAATCTGTCTGAAGATAAATGCAAAAAATGTTCTCGGGTGAGGATATATTAAAAAAAAATAAAATTGAAAAAAAATACGTAGGTATTGAACTATAACAAAAGAATAATTAGAAAAATTATTTAACAGAAGAATATGCAAAATAAGTTTTTTGTAAACATAAAACAAGTTGAACTCAAATGTGGAAATTCCATCGCAGTTTATAGTGAATTACAGATTAAGATCATATGGTTTAAAAACAAAGCAACCTGGGAAATGGATTCTTAATTTTCCTATTGACATGAAATTAATAGTGTAACTTGGTTTATATTTCATATTATAAGCCAAAGAGAAACTATTTATTAATTTAGTTTTTAGTGAATTTCAAAATATGAACTACTGCTTACAAAAATTTAATACATACATATTTTAAAATCTGTTCTAGGTAGAGTTCAATTTAAAAAAGATATTTACTAGAAATGATCTCCCTAGGAAATAAAAGCATTAATTTCTAAACACACATTGTAGAAAGTACATAGCATAATTCTAATATTGTTTCATCTTAAATTATTTATAGTTTTGGTTTTTTAAAATACATTCACAGGTTCAAAAGGCTAAACCACTAATTTAGAAAGAATGTTCAATATCAGGATATATCCTTCTTAAAAATCTTGAAGATGCACAAACTTGTAGGGTAAGAACATTCCATTTAAAATCTTTTCCTCAAAAAAGAAATTACAAAATGATTTAGAGATCTAAGATTTTAAGGGTCACAATTTAGGGCCTCAAATCATTCTAAAAATCTGACACTTTTTACAAAGGTTTTACTGCCATTGATAATTATTTTAACTAAATAGTGTTCCATGGCAGCTATTTAGTTGGCAAAAATATTTGTTTATAGCTTTATAAATGAAAAGACCATTTCAAAGAAATTATAGTAAATATAGTAAAATTTGCACTGGCCAGTGTGGCTCAGGTGGTTGGATCGTTGTACCATACACTGAAAGGTAGCAGTTTGATTCCTGGTCAGGGCACATACACAGTGTGCGGTTCCTTTCTATCCCTGGCCCTAGTCCGGGTGTGTGTGAGAGGCGACCAATGGATGTTTCTGTCTCACATCAATGTTTCTGTCAATAAAAAAAAAAATCTGGTAGCTTCAGCCATTTTGAAAAAAATATATGTAGTGAAATTTATGTGCTATTTTTGCAATATATAACAGATATTTTCCTTTGAGTATTTTTACTTTTCTCTTTCCTTGGAATTCTCAAGCACGTAGAGTCAAAAGTTACTTTAGATTTTTCACAAAAGACTGATCTTTTCTGAAAATAGTTAAGTATACTGAATTCCAAGAGGGACTGCTTATTTCCCATAAGTATTACCCTAAAAGAACAAATATCAACTAAATTGGAAATTCACTTTAAAATTTACATGTAAATATAAATATGTTTGTGTGTTACGTATGACTATATTCTTAAATAGTTTTAGAACAGTGTTTGAAAAAGCAATCTTTATTGGTTTTATTCCAATAAGATATTTTGTAAGTAAATGAAGAAGATCAATAAGATGAAATCATATATCCTTATTCCTAAGATATTTTTTAATCGGTAATCATTCACAGGCATTCAAAACTTGACCCACATAAGTTGCCAATGTCCATTCACTATAATAACTGAATGTCCATGAGAATCGATATGACTTTTTAATGTCGAAATTTTGCTCAATACAATAATATGACAAACATAAGCTTCTTTGAGTGGCACTGTCTTTTTAAATTTTTTAGACTCTCTTAAATATAATGGTTTTATTATAATTGTTCTAAAGTTGTTAGAATATTAAGTACACTATTAAAAAGAAACAAAACATATACAAAAGATTAGATAGTAAAAGCATAAAACTAAGCCACTCCACATAAAGACTAAATTACTTTGGGTAGAAAGATGACCAAAATAAGAAGAAATGAATGATAACACTACATGTGCTGTTGTTTACCTATAAAAACGAAGACTTGGTATTTGCTATACCATCTACTAGTAACTGTAAGAAACTAGTAACTATTCAAATTGGCAAAAGTATCTTCTTATTTCTTTCACACAATTAAAAGCCAAATATGAAGCAGGGTAACGTAAGTAGGTATGTACTAATGTTAAGTATATGTGCAGAAAAAAGTTAACATAGCAAGTCTGAGACTGCTATAGTTAAAAATGCCTGCTTTCAAGTCGGGTCCTTAATTGGCATCAGGGACTCGGATTTTGAAAAGGTCCCCATGATTCTCTGATAAGAGTGCTCACTGCATATAAACTGTACAAATAATGTGGTTTATGCTGAACACCTGTTTTTCTTTGGGGAGTCTAGAATTTTGGAATGTGCTAGGCACTGACCTCTGATGAAAATCCTAAGCTGCTAGGCTCAAAATGAGCTTCCCAAGAAAATAACATCTCATGTATGACTTCACAACTTATTGGCAGAGGAATTAAGCGTGTCCTGTCTAACTCCAGTGAGAGAGGACTCTAGGAAGCTTATACCTGGTTTCCTCTGGACTTCACCATATGCACACTTTCCCTTTGCTAATTTTGCTTTATATACTTTCACTATAATAATTGATAGCCATGAGCGTGACTACATGCTGAGTGCTGCAAATGCTCCTTGTGAATCATCAAACTTGAAAGTAGTTTTGGAAATCCCCAACATGATATATAAAATATTTAAAATTTTGAACTATAAAGGAAATTACCTATACCATGACACTAGAACCTCAGAGAATTTTTTCCCTCTGGAGCCCCAGGTATTAATACTTAATGATGAATAATCAGTTATTCATTGTCAAAAACATATCAAAATGAATAAATAAAATGTACTCAGGGTTTCCTACATATACACAGAAATAATTCTTACTGCTCATCAGGCCAGCAGATTGGTGGATGAGAGGAGGGAGATTTCAGAATTTGAAATATGAATATAGCAATGTGCTATTTATGAAAAATTAACAACTGAATGGATCCTACCATCTTTAGTGAAGACTTTATATGACATTGCAATAACCACTATGTAAATCTCTTATTTACCAAAAAGTTTCATCTTATTCTCTAGTGGAACTTTAAGAAACATTTACAATAAATTATATGAAAGAAAAAGGAAAATTACTATATGCATTTCAGAAATTAGTCTATAAATAGTATTACTGCTAGAAGCTACTCAATAAACAAATGTGTTACTACATATATTGCAAAAAAGTTCGTGGTTGTCAAGAAATATACTTATTTTCCTATAGCTATTTCACATGTAGCCTCTCTGTAAGATATAAACACAAATAGCACTAAGTAATTATTTTTGTGCATTCTTCAATAAAGAGACAAAAATATTTTCATTTAAATATACCTTAACTATTTCTTCAATGAAACAAATGTGAGAAACAGGATCTCTCTTCTTGGCTAATATTTTTTGTAGATGTTGTACCTAAAAAGGGAAAGAGAGGGAGAATATATTTAATTGGTATTTTCAAATGAACACGTGTGCAGAGTAGGTACCAGAAAAAGCAAGGAAAGGGAAAGAGTATTTTGCCAGACCTTTCCATACATGATAATCAGCTAATGCAGTTATTTCTAATGCTCAGAGATTTTAAGAAACCTGTCTAAGGTCACACAACTTGAAATAACCAAGAGTTATTCCATAATTAATGTTCTTTTCACTCTCTAAAATATTTACCTGTCCACAAACAGTACAAATATGATCCACAAGTTTCTCCATATTGGTCCAGAGGGAAGCACGAAAAGCTGCAGTGTTTCCTGGGGTTGGCATAGTAGATCGTCCAGGTCCCCCTGTTTATTTGAATGACACAAAATTATAAAACTAAAAATTTCCAATTATAACAACTGTATGTTATTATAAAAAGCATATACAGCCAGGTAGCTCAGTTGGTTTGAGCGTCATTCTGATATGCCAAGGTTGCAGGTTTAATCCCCAGTCAGGGCACATATAAGAATAAGCCAACGAATGCATAAATAAATGGAACAAAAATAACACTGATGAAACTGGATTATAAAACACTGATTAGTAATTCATGAATTCATAGTGATAAATCATGTTTAAAAAGAAGGGAGGTGCTGTTTATAGAAGACTGTCAGTAAATTATGAAATGATAGAATTAGAAAAAAATACTATTTTGAAACTATTAGAAAGTAATTGAGAGAAAGATTATCACTGGATATTAAAACATTAGGAGAAATGTTATAAGAAACAGGATATTCACATGGTTTCAAAGTATGTGCTACAATTACTTACTAATTACAAAGAAAAGAGAGTACTTTTATAAGGAGCAATCCGGCATACACCACAGTAACAAAGTGATTTCATTTAGCATCAGCTATTATGAGGCAGACTAACACAATTTTGATGCTTCCTGATATGAAGTAATGGGGAATACACATCACTACCTTATCAGTTTGTTTAGCCTGAATGTAATCATGAAGAAACAATCAGATAAATCCGGATTGTGGGGCTCTTCAAATATTTTAATGGCATAAAAGACAAAAAAAACCAAGAAAACGGTAATGGGGTTGTTTCTGATTAAAAGACAGAAAAGAGACAATTGAAAAGCATAATGCCTCATTGATTGGAATTGGGAGGGGGGTGTGAAGCAGCTATAAAAAATATTTTTGGAAACAAATGAAAAATGTTGAATATGAATTACATATTAAATAATTACTTATCTGTTAAATTTCTTGAGATTGATATCTAAGAATATTTCAGTATGTATTTTACACACACAGCTATTTGCACAGGTTTAAAGTGTTTCAACATAAAAAGGAGAAATTTTAATCCCAAATTGAAAAGTATAAATTTCAATCCACACTAAGCCTAAAAACCAGGTAGTACAAGCAAGAGCTCATCAGTGATTAGATAGTCTACCTTGCATTAACGAGTACAAAATCACAAAAAACCAGAGGCTATGTTTGTAAGCTGTTTTACTTTAGCTTTTCAAAAATTCTGTTTAGAAAAGAATTGCATGTGCCTTTAGTAAGGAGACACTCTGATAACTTTTACTTGGATAATTGAAAAGTAATAAAAATGAAACATATAAAAAATAGAGGTTGACTTTAAAAATATAATTCCCAGCCTGGCTCAGTGGTTGAATGTTGACCCATGCACCAAGTGGTTGCCAGTTCAATTCCCAGTCAGGGCACATCCCCAGGTTGTGGGCCAAATTCCCAATAGGGGATGTGCAGAAGGTGGCCAGTCAATGTTCTCTCTCATCAATGTTTTTCTCTCTCTCCCCCTCTCCCGTCTTCTCTCTCTAGAAAAATCAATAAAAAAATAAAATTAAAATATAATTCCTGTTTGAAATCTAGGTCTAATTAATTTTTAAAATTTTTGCACTGTTTTGCAAAGAACACTAAGGAAAGATATACAGGGAATAGAGAGGTAACATGGAAACTATCTGCAGCTGTCTCATGTTATATAAAAAGTAAATTTGTAATAGTGAGGAAAGGCTATGTAGTATCTTTGTGAAAATTAAAAACAGTAATCAAATTCCTGGACCATGTACAGCTTGGTTTATTATAAAGAATTATGAGATGCATCAACCCAGTACTCTCAAAATAAACACCAGAAGATATACAAGAAGATACTATTTTCTGCTCAGATTTACTTTGGAGAAACTGAAAGAGAAAAACAAGATCACAGTCATGGGTTCAATTAGTTCTAGAGGCTTTATTTTCTCACTTATAGTTTAGTAAAGATTTTTATTATCATAAGCTAAATACATCTCATTGAAGATATAAATATGATAGAAATAATCAACTAAACATAGGACAGCTGTGCAAAGGAAGGGAAGAAAGAATAATGAAAAGAAAAACAGATGCCACCATCAGCTTGAGGGGACACATGAAACAAAATAAAGAGTGTCATAAACTAAGTTTTATTCAAGTGATAGAAAAAAAACTGAGTTTCTCAAAGAAACAATACTTAAGAGTGATTTCCAACAGATAGCAGGCCCTTCCTTTCTTTGTTATAGGCTTTCCACAATTTATGAGAAGCATCTATCTGGTAATTAAACCTTGAAATTGTTGGCCCCTCTGATTCAAATGGCTCCTCCATTCAAACAGAACAGCAGGACCAGACAAGGCACTCAAGGCGAGCTGCTCTCATTCTTCCACCCCCTCCTCCCTACTATTTTAACAGCTTCAGGCTGATTAGCAAGAATTCCTCCTCCTTGACCTCCCCACCTCCCCTTCAGATAGGCCTTGCCTCTCCCCTTTGAACTCTTTATAACTTTTGTTCTAAGCTTGTTTTACAGACATGGGAAAATGGTGATAAGACAGTGCTCAGTGTCTCTGCCTTACTGTCTCCTGGAAAAAAAACAAACTGTAACTTTTTAAGACAAATTCCCAACACCTATACCCACTCCCTTCCCTGTGGCTTAGCAACAGCAATTGATTGCGCTTTAAAAGTACAAGTTACTCATTCTTCTTTGTCCTTGTATTGTCAATCAATGCAATGGATCTTTTCCTCCACTAGGAAAGTAAAACAAATTTTCCTCCCTCTCTCTCTCTCTCTCTCTCTCTCTCTCTCTCTCTCTCTCTCTCTCTCTCTCCTCTTAGTTGTGAATTCTTTCACAAGCCCATGTCACTGGCCAAATCCTAATAGTTATAGTGGAATAAAATCATTTTCCTACCCTCATCCCTGGAAAGACAATGTAAATAAGAACCTAAAGTAGCCCTGGCCGGTTTGGCTCAGCAGTTGGAGCATCGGCCTGCGGTCCAGAGAGACCCAGGTTCGGTTCCCGCTAAGGGCACGTACCTCGGTTGCAGTTTGTCCCCGGCCCTGGTTGGGTCGTGAGGGTGTCCTTTCACATCGATGTTTCTCTCTCTCTCTCCTTCCCACTCTATCTGAACAAAAACTGGAAAAATGTCCTCAAGTGAGGATTAAAAAAAAAATATATCAACCTAAAGTAGAGCAAAACACCAACTTCAAAAAAATCTAAACTAAAACTTCAACTTGAGATTATAAAGCATGTGTTTCAAATGCTGTTGGTAAATCAAAATGAACCAGATAGATGACATCTAAGACCATTAACAAAGAGCAAATTGTTTTTAAAATTAATTGCATGAATTTAGACAAGCTATCCAATAATTCTTTGATTAGAGTTAAGATGGATAGACATGGAGTTCCAGGGAAGAAGCTAGTAATGTGTTCATGTTGCAGAGTGACAAAGAAAGAAAAACTACACCCTGGCCGGTTTGGCTCAGGGGTTGGAGCGTTGGCCTGCAAACCAGAGAGTCCCAGGTTTGGTTCCCGCTAGGAGCACATACCCCCCCCAAAAAAAGAAAAGCTAAAAGAGAAATTATAATAAAATGATATTGACATTATATAACAATTAGCCCTCTAATGGGGAGACTGTTAGAGGTAAAATGAAGTGAAAGGAAAGAAAAGCAGAGAATATGAGGTTTCCATACAGAAATTATTTAAAGGCTTTACTGGGACTCACACTAAGTTCAAGAATAGTCTAAATTTTGAGAAAAGAGGTGTTCCCACAGGAGCAAGAAATAAAAATTGGTCGACTGTTACCCCTACATGACAATTGGGAAAAATGGAATGAAAATGGCTGAAAGCAACTTACAATAGAGTCAGGAGGCTATTAAGCAAATGGGGCCTATGCACATCTTTTTTTTTTTTTGTACACACAGAGTGGAGAGAGAGAGATTGAAACATCAGTGTGAAAGAGACACATCGATTGGTTGCCTTCCGCATGACCGCCTGACTCCAACTGGGGCTTGGGATCTGAACCTATAACCCAGGTACAGGTATGTGACCTTGACCAGGAATTCAACTCTTGACCCTTTGGTCCATGGGCTGATGCTCTAACCACTTAACTAATCCGGCCAAGGAGATATATCTTGTGCTTCAGTTCATAGAGTTGCTATTAAGTTGCTAGACCTGTTGCTAAACTCAGCTCAAGGTGGAGTCATAAACATTCTGGAATAACAACTGCCCCATGACCTTATTATATCAGCGATTTTCAACTTGTGTGCAGCAAAAGGCACACTGATGTGCTGTGAGAATTTGCAAAACATGCAATACCCCTCTCTTTAGTCAGGGGCACTGACCTCATTTCCCTTAAATTGCCAAATAAAAAAATGACAAAAGCCAACACAACAATATCCATCCAGTGTGAATGAATGAAAATTATAACTATTTTTCTTGTCGGATTGGCAAAAAAGATTTATTTTTGGTGTGCCACAGAATTTTAGTAATTAGTTTATGTGTACCATCAGACAAAAAAGTTGAAAATCACTGCCACATATGGATTTTATTTCCTTCTTGTAGTTTTGCCTCCCTTGTTTACATGTTGAAACTAACCGATTCCCTTTAACCTAGCCGGCAATCCTTCATTTATATGAAAGAATTATATTTTGAGGTTTTCGTCTTTATAAACTCTGCCTTTCTCTGTTCTCTCCACAGCAGTTTGGTTGCTACCTAAATCTGCATCTCTGGGGTTTGAATCCTTTAAGATTCCAAAGACATTTTTAGTTTGCTTTACAGCCCCACATTTTTACTGGTTAACACTATATAATAAACCTAAATCAAAGTCAGAGACTGTCCCAGGTCTCTCCCCACAACCATTTCCATACTATTCTTCAAGGAACAGCAGTACCTTTCAAGGATGAATAGTAATCAGAAACAAAGCAGGGAGGGAGGAGCACGATTGCAGAGGCCTTTGCAGCTGGTGCTGCTCTGGAGTCCTGCTTACCCTGGGTCCCACCTTCTTTTCTTGCGTTGCTTTGCTCTGCCCTTGCTCCTCCCCTGCTTTGCTCCATCTGGCTTTAGGCCCTGGGGCAGCGAGGTTGCCCTTCTGACTTTGCTTGTACTTCCCTGCTTGCACCCCTGAGCTGCCTGCACGCTGGCAAATGCCTTCCTACTGGCAAGCCAGGTTGGTGCACTGTTCTGGTGGCAGGGGCATGCGTGCTGCTCCAAAGGTACCCACCTGCCCTGCTCTCACACCTGGACCTGGTGCCCCTCAGCCAGCCAAGGCCCATTCCCAGCACAGGGGCCAGAGGATGGGGCAGGGCAGGCATATTCAATGAAAGTTTGTTACCAGCTGAGGTGCTGCCCCTAGACAGGCAGGTACCCCAGCATATCCTTAGCCTGAGAGGAGCCTTCGGCTTCAGCTCCAGCTCCACGCTCTTAGGCTGCCCCCATCCTCGGCAGTTCTAACAGAGTAAAGGAAAGGTGACAGGATAAATATTATTCTAGAACTGTGAATATGGAATTTGAAGGAAAATTTTTTATGCCAGGAAAATTTGATTGAAAATTAATGACTTGAGCCCTGGCCGGTTTGGCTCAGCGGTTAGAGCGTCGGCCTGCGGTCCCGAGAGACCCGGGTTCGGTTCCCGCTAAGGGCACGTACTTCGGTTGCAGTTTGTCCCCGGCCCTGGTTGGTCGTGCGGGTGGCAGCCACTCGATGTGTCCCTTTCACATCGATGTTTCTCTCTCTCTTCCTCTCTCCCCCTCCCACTCTACCTGAACAAAAAGTAGAAAAATGTCCTCAGGTGAGGATAAAAAAAAAAAAAAAAAGAAAATTAATGACTTGAGACTCGGTCAAGATGGTGATGTAGGTAAAAACAGCATTCACCTCCTTCCACAACCACATCAAAATTACAACTAAACTATAAGGATGCTCAAGAAACTTAGTGAGGACCTCAAGAACATAATAAAGGACCAGTCAGAAATGAAGGATGCACTAACTGAAAGAATAATTTACAGGGAATCAATAATGGAGTAGGTGAAGCCAAGAAGCAAACCATCAATTTGAAATCTAGGGAAGCAAAAAACACACAAGCAGAACAGCAAAAAGAAAAAAAAATCCAAAAAAATGAGGATAGTGTAAGGAACCTCTGAGACAACTTCAAGCATGCCAACATTCAAATCATAGGGGTGCCAGAAGAAGAGAGAGAGCAATGAATTGAAAACCTATTTGAAAAAATAAAGACAGAAAACTTCCCTAATTTGGTGAAGGAAACAGACATACAAGGCCAGGAAGCACAAAGGGCCCAAACAAGATGAACCCAAAGGGCCCAAACAAGATGAACCCAAAGAGGCCCATACAAAGACACATCATAATCAAAATGCAAAAGGTTAAAGACAAAGAGAGAATGTTAAAAGTAGCAAGAGAAAAGCAGTTTGTTACCTACAAAGGAGCTCCCATAAGACTGTCAGCTGATTTCTCAAAAGAAACTTTGTAGGCCTGAAGGGAGTGGGAAAAAATATTTAAATTGATGAAAAGCAAGGACCTATAACCAAGATTACTCTGTCCCGCAAAACTATCATTTAGAATGGATGGGCATATTAAGAGCTTTCCAGACAAGAAAAAGCTAACAGAGTTCAACACCACCAAACCAATATTATATGAAATGTTTGAAGGGTCTTACTGAAGAAGAGGAAGATCAATATTGTATACAATAAAATGGCAATAAATACATATCTATCAACAATTAAATGTACAAACAAAAATAGCAAGCAGAACAGAAACAGACTCATAGATACAGAGAACTTTTTGTTGACTGCCAGATGGAAGGTGGGTTGGGGGGATGGGTGAAAAAGGTGAAGGGATTAAGACAAACACATTGGTTGTTAGACTGAAGAAGCTGAGTGGGAAGTAGGGAGGGAAGTGGGAAGTGATAATCTAAAGAATTTATATGTATATATGCAATACAGACAATAGTGTAGGGAAGGCAGGAGCAGGGACAGGAGCAGGGAGGAGGGGGTTAATGGGGGAAAAAAGTGGGGACATCTGTAATACTTTCAACAATAAAGTTATAAAAAAAAAATAAAGCAACATCAAACCTAACACATATATTAGGGTGGAGGTTGGTGGTGAAGGGAGGAGCAAAGAAATAAAGGAAAAAGTGATGATAAACATAGGTTACCAAAAAATTCCCAAAGAAAAGAACAGGAAAGGTTACTTAGTTTTCCACTGTCTCAAAGTAATTAGAGGAAACCTTCTCAGTGTTAATATATAACAAAGGTTAAGACCACAGTTAGAAATAAAACATTATAATGATCAAGGGTGAAAACACAAACATGGGAAAAAGGCAAGAGGAAATCACACAAAATTAAATAAAATACGAAGATACATCAAAGGAAAAGTAAGTGACCTATGTGAGCCATACAAATTTTGATTAGCAAATTCATTTCTGGTTCCACGTACAAGTAGCTTGGAAGTTATCACTCTGTCCTAACAACAAATAAAAAGCTCAACAGACTGAAAAATAAGCTCTTCTTGGACCCATAAGAGAAGGAAGGACATATGGCAAACCACTGCCCCCCAAATTGGAAAGACCTCCAAGCAAATACAGGAAGTTGCTGTTTGCCAAAGCAGAGGCTCTCTAGCAGAAGCTGCAGAGGGAACCAGTGCCATGGCAGGAAAGCCAGAATGGTAGCCGATGAATTGCTAGAGGCTCAGTGTCGATAATTCTGAGAGTTAAAAACTCCAGGGCAACCCAGTCACAGAGGGACCCTACAATATTGAGCCTGACTAGGTTCCCACTGTAAATATTGAAGAAAAATCCCCTCATTCTTCCAGAGAAGAGGAAAAAGAATCATTTTGAAATATGCCAGAGCATTCTGTTCTTAAGCAGGTCTGTTCTCAGGAAAAATTAATCAATCAGAGCCTTATCTGCTGGAATATTACCAGAGCCTAACTGACCTGGGGAATGGAAATACCCAACTCCAGCCTACTCTAATTTACGTAATAGAATACTACTCAGCTAAAAAGGAAGAAAATTTTACCCTTCACAACAGCATCGATGGACCTGGAGAACAGTATGCTAAGTGAAATAAGCCAGTCAGAGAAAGAGAAGTACCATATGATTTCACTCATATGTAGAATAATGAACAAACCAAACTAACATGCAAAATAAAGACAGACTCATAGATAGAAATCAGGCAGACAGCTCTTTTGTGGGGGTGCTGGTGAAGGTGAAGGTACTGAACAAAAAATTAAAAAATGAGAAAGAACTCATGGACATGGACAACGTGTGGTGATTGCAGGGGAGAAGGGAGTGGGTGGGGGTGGAATAGGGTATGAGAGGATAAATAAAAATAGAAAAAATTAAAGAAAAAAATTGAAGTTATTTTTGAAAAATAAGAATTAACTGATAAACTAGATATCGTTAAAATGAAAAACTTCTACTCTTAGAAAGATAATATCAAGAGAATTAGAACACAAGCTACAGTCTGGGTGAAAATATTTGCAAAGGACACATATAAAAGGACTGTTATCCAAAATATGCAAAAACTTTTAGAATTCAAGAATTGGTAAATAAACAACCTGGTTAAAAACTGGCCAAAAACCCTAACAGACACCTCCCTTATCAAAAAGGATAGATGGCAGATAAGCATATGAAAGGATGCTCAACATCATACACCATCAAGGAAATGCAAATTAAAACACACCTGTAAGAAGGGCCAAAATGTGGAACACTAACACCACCAATGCTGCCAAGGATGTAGGGCAATAGGAACACTCATTCACTGCTGGTGGGAATACAAAATAAGACAGCCAACTTTGGAAAACAGTTTAGCAGTTTGTTACCACACTAAATCCACTCTTACCATATAATCTAGCAAGCCTGCTCCTTGGTATTTACCCCAAGGAGTTTTTTTTTAAAAAAAACCTGCAAGTGGATATTTATAGTACCTTTTCTCACAATTGCCAAAACTTGGAAGCAACCAAGATGTCCTTCAGTAGGTGGATGGACATCTTGGTACCTCATCTTGGTACCTCCATACAATGAAATATGCATCAGCACTAAATAAAAAAAAAAAAAAAAAAAAAAAAAAAAAGAGCTCTCAAGCCATGATTAGACATGAAAGAATCTTAAATGTATATTACTACTAAGTGTCAAAAGCCAACCTGAAAAGGATATATGCTCTATAATTCCAACTATACGACATTCTGGAAAAGACAAAACTGTGGAAACAATAAAAAGGTCAGAGGTTACCAGGGATGAGAGTGGTGAAGATGAACAGGCAGAGTACAGGGTTTTGTAGGACAGTGAAAATATTATGTATGATATTATAAAGATAGGTACATGCCATTATACATTTTTCCAAACTCACTGAATGTACACCAAGAGTGAACCCAAATGTAAACTATGGACTTTGGTGATTATGATGTGTCAAAGTAGGTTCATTAATGGTAACAAATGTACCATTTCTGGTGGGGTATGTTGATAAAGGCAGGGTATATGGGAAATCTCTGTTACCTTCCTCTTACTTTTGCTGTGAACCTAAAACTGCTCCAAAAAAATTAAGTCTTAAAAAATTCCCTGTATACTCCTCCCTTTCTGATCCCATTTTCCCTGCTCTCTCCCCAGAGCTAATGCTATTTTGAATTTGATGACTATTATTACAATGCATATATTTATATTTTTGTTACATATTTACATATGCAAAATAATATATAGCACAGTATATCACAGTTCTTACGCTTTAAATATTTTCATACTGTACATTTCTTTCTGCAACTTGCTTTTTCATGTAATGTTTTTGAGAATTATCTATATTTGGAAATTTATTAATTTAAATATCACATAGTAGTCTACTTAATAAATAAACCAGATTAATAATTTTTCCATTGAAGGAAAGGTTGTTTTCACTGTTTCACTATTATAAACAACAGTGCAATAAAAAGTCCTGGCCCAGATTAGGTAGCTTAGTTGATTAAAGCATCATCCTGATACACCAAGGTTGCGGGTTAAATCCCCAGTGAGGGCACAAACAAGAATCAACCAATGAATGCATAAATAAGTGGCACAACAAATCAATCTCAATCTCAATCTCTCTTTCTCTCTCTCTCTCTCTCATTCCTCTCTCTCTCTAAAAATCAGTAAATCAATAAATACATTAGGATTGACAGTATATGAATAACTGCTTTCATTTTTTCCTCTAATTTTGACAACACAAGAGGAATGAGATTAAACTGCTCCAGAAAATTTAAACATTAGATCAAGGTTTCTAAGAATAATTTCTGGCAAAAACTGAGAGTGAAATCTCCTTTGGCAATTTCTGTTCAAAGCTCTCCCAAAATAGTCTTAATACAGACCTATTCAGAGGCTAGCACTATCCTTTAAAAATCCATTTAAGATGTAAAGTTCTATTATCTGTTTGCATCTAGTGCAACTCATTCATGAGTGACATATATTCTGTGTTACAAGGTTACGTTTATATAGCAAATTATAAAAATAATAATGGCTGCCAATAACACTTTTTTAGTATTAGCCATATACCAAGAACTGTGTCATTAATTTTACATGTGTTGTTTCATTTATTCTTTAGGACAACTCTATGATGATTAGAGTACCTTCTTCAATAGAAAAATAGAGAGAAAAATTGGAGAGTATGTATAGACAACACTTTGGGGAATTTTTCTGTATTATGAAAAAAATTAAAGGGGTAGTAAAGCTGAAGAAACAAACAGAGTTAAGATAGATTTGTCTGATTGTCTTTAAGCAGAAGGTACACTAACATGATTATATGTGATGGAAAAGACAAGTACAAAATGAAAAACTGATGAAGTGGTAGAGAGAGGGGATCTACTAAAGCAATGCCCTTGATGATGGGATCTAATGAAAAATGGAATATTTGGTCTTTGCTAGGAACAACTGCAATTAATTCATGTAAATAGGAGAGAAAAAATAGGTACACATGACATGTAGTCTTTCCTATCTGTGAAGTGTGTTATATATGTGGATGTCATTATCAGGTGCAATGTAGGGCTACTCCTCACCACCTTGAATCTCCCTATTTTTAGTAGTTTTCTTTAGATTTTGCTATCTTCACAGTTAGCCACTACTGCTCCTGAATACCAGAATTATCATAAGGAAAAGCCCTAAAAGCTAAGGTAGAGATGGCTTTTCCTTAAAAACATATTTTCTGTTGCAACAAGAAGTGCATGTGAGGATAAGCGTTTTAGAGAAAAATAAATTATGTTCCTTTTCTTTTCTTGCATCTGTTTTCTCTGAAGTAAATGAAGTCACAGTTTACAGATATTTATCTAGAAGTTCTGAATATATGAAATGACCACTTCAACTCACTGATGAGACAAAAATGTTATAAGTAAATTCTGAAACATAATTTCTCTTCTCATTTTCTGTCTATTAAAAAAATGAGTCATTAAATTACTTTGAAACTTGAGTATTTCATATACTATTCAAAGGACTTCTCAGTTATAAATAAAGAAAGAAGCTAAATATAAACCATTTCCTTACCTCTCACTGTTGACTGGGAAGGCTGAGTCAAAACTCTGATATCTAACGCACTGTTGATACTTTCTTCTAAAGCAGCACAATATCCATCCACGACACTGGTAACAGTAGTCTTCAATGTTCCAAGATTATGGAAAACCTGAAGAGCTGTTCCAACTTGGGTTGGATTCTTTTAATAGGTGAGGGTGTGTAGGGTGGAAATAGATATAAATAGAAAAATAAACAAAAATATATAAATCTACAACTTTTACTATAATATTTTAAAATTATCAAAGCACAAAAATAATGCATTTGGAACAAATACTATATTTAGTCATTATTTATTTCATAAAAGACAAAGCTAAATATTCTTTATATACGTTCACCCCTTTTGCTTTTCCTCCTCCTTTAAAGGATAAGATCAGAAGTTTGTTATACTATTGAAATTTATTATCAATCCTATGAAGAGAGCCATGCTGAAATTAACAACAATTCTACATTTGTTTAGAGAATAAATAAGTAAATTCTGCACAGTTAACTAGGGGCTGAGCTATGTAGATTGATACTTACTTTTCATTATATTGTATTTATTTACTCTAACCACAAAAATTTATACAGTGCTTACTCTGTGTCTCTCTTGGTTCTAGGTGCTGGAAATATAGCAGTAAATAAAACCAAGTAAGTCCCTACCTTCATGGAGCTAGGTTGTAATAAATGTAAAAAAAATGAAGCAGGGGCCCTGGCTGGGTGGTTCAGTTGGTTGGAGAGTCATACCATGCACCGAAAATGATAAGGGTTTGATTTCTAGTCAGGGCACATACCTAGGTTGCAGGTTCAATCCCCAGATAGGGCACAGACAGGAGGCAACTGATTGAGGTTTCTCTCTTTCTTTCTCTCCCTCTCTCTTCTTTCCTTTCTCTTTAAAATCAATTAAAAAGAACATATTCTCAAAAAAAAAAAAAAAAAGAAAAGAAACAGGGAATAAGAATAGAGAATGATGAGAATTATAGAGAGAGGAATCAGAGGATGTATCTCTAAGGTGATTTTAATGGAGGAAGTGTAAGGAGGAAGTGTAAGGAGCATTTGTGAACTACAGATCTGAACAGAGGTATTAACAAAAAGTGCTGAGGTAGAAATGTGCTTAGTAGCCAGTGAAATAGCAAAAAGGCCTTAATGGTGGCTGGAACAGAGTGACTGAAGCAGAGGGAGGTAGGGGATAGGATAGGTAGTAGAAACACTATCCAAGAGAAGATTGAGTCCATAGTAATATAAAGATTGTTGTATTTGTCATCGAGTCAATGACTGAATTACCAAGACAGAATCTAAACCACCAATATATATTTCCAGGCCCAAATAACTGAAATTCCTTTCATTTATGATTCAGTGTCTGTTATTAGAACATAATTAAATTACTTCTTTAAGATATATTCTTGACTGTTAAGTTTATAAATAAGATAAAAGGTTGTTTCTGAAATCTACTGATGTTAATAATAGTACATACTGCAGATACATACACACACAGAGGCAAAATAGAAAATAACAGAAAACAAGATTCATGAATAACAATGCCCATTTTGGATATTTTTTAATTAAAGAAGAAAAAAAAGCAAATGGACACTGTTTCAAATTACAATCTGTTTTAATTTAAAAAGCTTAATGTGGATATAATTTAATTCTAGTATATAATATCATTCTCTCTCAGTACTTACAAATAACATCGGGAAAAATAAGGTATTTCATATAAAATTATTACCTAAAAATATGGGGTGCAGTGCTTTGAGTTGTTAGTTTCATCTAGAGTGATACTTTAAAAAAATTTTTTTTTATTTTTTATTAATTAATTTTTGTTACAGATGTTTCTCCTTTTTCCCCCACTGATCCCCCCCTCCCCGCCCTGTCCCCAGCTTTGTTCTCCATGTCCATTGTTCATGCATACGTGCATATAAGTTCTGTGGTTTATCTCTCTCCCCCACCTACCCCTCTTCTGGGGATTGTCAGTCTGTACCCCACTTCCACGTCTCTGGGACTACCCTGTTCTTCAAACTGTTATGTTCAATATAATCCACAGATAAGTGAGATCATATGATACTTGTCTTTTCTCTGCTTGGCTTGTTTCGCTTAGGATAATACTTTCCAGGTCCCTCCGTGTCGTCTCAAAGGATAAGAGATCTTTCTTTCTTACAACTGCACAGTACTCCATTGTGTATATGTACCACAGCTTTTAGTAGATTTAAAGAATTCAATTTAGGCAGCTGTAAAGAAATTTCCCTTATCATTATTCATGTGTCTATATAATCCAAAAAAAGCATTACCTGGGCAACTTCAAAGAATATACTCAAGCTTATAAAACTAGAATACTAATATGTACTGTTAAATTATATTTGTTTCAGTGTTATCAATTGAATGTACACTGTAAGTTATATGTGTACAATAACTGAGAAACATTTTAAGTCATATTTTACTTTAAAGATTTGACTAAAATAAACCAGTCTTCAAATTTCCCACTCTAAAATTTATTAACTTCCCAAACTTTCAAAACAGAAACATATATAGATCATTTTTAAAAGGCATCTAATACAGTAATATTTATAATACTTATAATAATTCTAGATATAATGTTAAGCTTGCCAATTAACATGACCACTTTTTAACTTAATGCTAGTTATTCACATTCATTGCTTAATATAAATATATAATTTGTTAGTTGGTAAACTATAAAACAATGATTTGGAATAAATTTTTAATATATAACAGTATGCAAATTATATAAGCATAGCATTATCATGTATTATCACAAGGTGAACACACCTATGTAAGTACCATCCAGACTGTGAAACCAAGTGTTATCAGCACCTCTGAATCCTGTATGGTTTTCCCAAGCGTATCTCTCCAAATATGATCACTATCATAACTTTTAATACCAATGATTACTTTTACCTGTTTTTTAATTTTACATAAATGGAACCATAAAGGAAGTGCCATTTTGTGCCTGGTTCCTTTTAGTCAATGTCCTATCTGTAAAATTCATCCATGTTGTTGCATGTAACAGTAGCTGATTCATTTTTGCTTTTATCAACCATTCCAGTGTAGAAATTTACCTTGGTTTATCTATCCATCCCAATATCAATGTACATTTAAGTTATTTCTTTTTTGTTTGTTTGTTTTAGGTATTTCAAATAATGCTGTCATGAACATTCTAGTGAATGGCTTTTTAGTGAACATATATGCATATGTATTTCTGATGGCTAAGTGCAGAATTGCTAGGTCATAAGCTGTTTGTTTGCTCATTGTTTATAGATACTGCCAATTTCCCAAAGTCATCATACCAATCTATATCTACACCAGTAACATGGGAATGTGGGTCCTCCACAACCTTGCCAAAATTCAGAATTACCAGTCTCTTCAATTTTAGCTATTCTTTTGAATGAGCACTGTGGTTTGAATTTGCCATTTTGTGATAACTAAGAAGTTATCCCTTTTTGCATGTTAATTATGCATTTGGATACCTTCTTTTGTCCATTTTTCTTACTGGTTTTTCTGTCTTTTACATATTTATAAAAGTTGCTTATACCTTTTGAATATAATTGCTTTGATGATTATATTTATTACAAATATAATGTCCCATTCTCAAGAAATCTTTTAAGCTCCTAATTTGAATGCAGCCTATTTTATTAACTTCATTCTTTATGTTTAGACTTTCAGTATCCTGTTTAAAATTTTTCCCATTCCACATTCATAAAAATGTCTTTCATTCATGAAGTTATACTACAGAAACTCTATTTATTTACCTTTCATATTTAGATATACAATCCACCTGAAATTACTTTCTGTATAAGTTGGAGGCATGATTACAGTTTCTCTATATAAATATCCAATTGACACAGCATACAATTCATTTGAAAACACAAGAAAACACAAGGGCTACTTTAAAAATCAAGTTTCTAACTGTGTGTGTTGGTTCCTGGAATCTCAATTCTGTACCATTAATCTGTCCTAACAGAAATTCACGTGTGTACATTATTTTAGCTTCAGAGTAGGATTTAATAGTCTTCTATCTCTGTTCTTCAAATTGGTATTCAAACTGGTACAGGCTCTTCTTGGTACATGGTACTTCCATAAAAATCTTATAATGGACTTGACAATTTTTATTGGAAAAGAAAGCTCAAATTTTGAGATTTATTAAATCTATAGATAAACTAGAATGAATGAAGTCTATAATATCTCTTTAATTCATGAATGTGGTATTTCTCTTCATTTACTCAGATCTTTTATTTCATTTAATAATGTTATAGTTTCTGTGAGGAGGTCTTACTTACATATCTTTAATTTGAATTATTCCTTCACATGATATTCTTTGATATTGTAAATGATAATTAAAAACATATTGCTGTGTTTCTGTCACTAATAAAATGAAAATACAATTGATTTTATATGTTGAATTTCAACAAACCTTCAAAATTCAGTTATTAATCCTAATAGTTTATCTGTGGGTTATTTGGGATTTTCTATATATACAATCACATTATTGCTGAATAATTTTTATTTCTTCCTCTCCAGTCCTTCTATATTTCATTGTTTTTTCGTATTTCCTGGTTAGGATTAGGATCTTCAAGATATTGCACAGTAAAAATGATAAGAGAAGTATCCTTGTGCTGTTCATTCCTAATCTTATGTAGAAAGCCTTAAGTATTTCACACAGATTTTTGGAGATAACCTAAATCATAAATTAATACTTAATTTTATTAAGTGCTTTTTCTGCACATGGTAAGATTATACATTTTTCCATTTATTAAAGAAACTACATTGTATTTCTGAACTAAAGCTATCTTGGTCACAATGGATTATGCTTTTCAAATATCCCTGACTTACACTGGCTTTGTTTAGTATTTTTGCACTGATTTTCAAGAAAGACAACTAGTAATTTTCCTTCCTTATAATATCCTTGTTTTGATATCTTGATGGACAGAGTTTATACAACATTGGTTTATTTATTAAATATTTTAATGAATTCACCAGTAAAGCTATCTGTCCTTGGAGTTTTCTAAGATGGGAGGTGTTTAGTGATAAATTGAATTTGTCAATAAAACTATTCAGATTTTCTAATTTTCCTAGTGCTGTTTTGGTAAGTTGTTTTTCTAGACATTTCTTAGTGTGTGTGTTTTTTAAATCCTCACCCAAGGATACTTTTTA